AGAACAATTTTTGACAAGAAGCCAATACATTTTTAAAAATGTGGATCTTTTCCGCCAATTTACACCTTTTTTTTTCAAATAAGCTCAACGAAGGTAATCATTATTGTTTTATACCTACTGTTAAGTATATTTTCAATATGGTGTGAAAAATTCTTGTAATTTGGAGAAAATATTATGCATATGCTGTGTGAAAATGGTATATTTTATAACAAGTGTGGAATAAGCAAAATTCTACGCGAGAAGAACGGCAGGCCTATTCTCTACGAAAAGCAATAACATAGCAACCAGCAACCGGTCGCAAGTTGCTTTTTTTGAATAGAAAACTCGCGTTTGAGAGCGAGTTGACACCGACTATAGGGCATGTCCATGTGACGTCACAAATGAGTTTGACAATCGCCCTGCGGTAAAACAAATCATTTATTTACATCATACCCCGCGATCTTCAAATGTACCACTTGGTTCGATGAAAAACTTGTTTCATGCCCGGTAGAGGCGCTATCAATTGATTTGCGTACGCGTTGTTGATTGTATCTCCAAGGTATCTCCGCTTTAGAAGAAGGGTGACGTGATTACTAATTAAATCATGACATCACGACATGAACCGACATAAATTCATAAAATGACAAATGATGACAAAACGATGAACTGGAAAACGTTGTGCTTCTTATTGTTGTTTTAATATTTCTGGTCGTTGAAAAAGTGTTTCGTAGTGATACAGCGTTATCTGTGTGTATTTGTGGACTTTCACAGTGTTGTGTTTAGTGTAAAGACTATTATTGTTATTTAATTCTGTGTTGTTAAGTGTTGACTTAGCCGCTTTCCAGCTGTGTGCTTCAAGCACGGTGCAGCACAGTGTTCTGTGTTTGAAACGCAAAAGTTAGCAGATCTCGGAGCGCAGCACGGCTGGAACACAAACACGCACTTGAAGCATTTGCGCGCGCAAAAGCTCGATTGCGTGCTCAAAATGGGCAGCTGGAAAGCGGCTTTTGTTGACAAATTTCGAAAAGCCAACATATTTTTCTTCTCTCTTTGTAATAAACTGTTATTTGTTAAATTTGCATCAAATTGTGTCTTTATTATAAAATAAATAAAAATCAAATTAAGTTAAGTTCGCAGATCTCGGAGCACAGTACGGCTGGAACACAAACACGCGCTTGAAGCATTTGCGCGCGCAAAATTTCGATTGCGTGCTTAAAATGGGCAGCTGGAAAGCGGCTTTTGTTGACAAATTTCGAAAAGCCAACATATTTTTCTTCTCTCTTTGTAATAAACTGTTATTTGTTAAATTTGCATCAAATTGTGCCTTTATTATAGAATAAATAAAAATCAAATCTAAAAAAAAATAAGACGCAAACTGCTCTACAAGCTGCTACAATGAGATGAGCTCATTTAATAGAAAACAGATGGCGCCACAAATGATTGTCCGACCCATATAACGGGACTGTCCATTCTATACCCACTATATTGAACTATCCAAGATGCTGTCAAACTTGAATTAAAATGGCCGCCAAGAGGCACACAAACCCTTTTTTTATGTGTCATTCAATGTGTCATGAAATTTTTTTCAAAAAAATAGTGCTCATTGTTCATTTGCGTTGTGATACTCGTTGTTTTTACTCGTATTTTATTAATGTTAGAAATAGAACAGATCCCTAGGGCACTCCTGCAGTGATATCCAACCCCTCTGAAGTACTGAACCCCTAGAAGCAGTAGGTACTTCATGACAGACACAATCGAAAGCTTTTTTCAGGTCACAAAAAACTACCGCGGCCACTTCTTCGTCATTTATCTTCTAATACAGCTCATCCAGGAGATGAAATATGGTATCATCAGTGTTTTTTGACTGCTGAAACAGAGACAGAGAAAGCAATTTATGTCTATCAAGGAAGCTCACCATCCACCTTAATTAGCCACTCTACAATTTTAGTCAAAGTTGGCAGTAAGGATATTGGCCGGTGATAAGATGGTAAATTCTTATCACCCCCCTATTAAACAAAGGTACTACCCCAGATTGCTTCAAAAATGAGGGAAAACTTCCGGTAAGAAAAGAATTAATAATGGAATCCGCCAGCACATCAACAGCCTAACTGAGATATCGTCCCATCCAGAAGATTTTCTATTTTTGATACTCAGTTTCTGAGCAATCGTACAGTATGAATTAATATTATCTGCTTTCAAATTGGAAGCACATATGTATATTTCTTATTTTTTTTTTTTGGCCTAGGTCGTTCTTTTTTTTTGTTTATTGGAGGCGGATGCCCAACCTCTTATTGTAATAAATCTTCCTTGCCTGTTTCATCGTCTTTCTGTAGATGCTCCTGTATCCATTATTCAAACTAGGTCATAAAACATATATTATCAATATCAAGAGCAAACTTTCTTAAGGAATGAAGACACCTAAATTTTCTAGAAGCAATTCTTAAACCTTTTGTGATACAAGGCTTTTTCTTTTTCGATTTTAACTTGACTAACATAAATGCATGTTTAAAAATCGTTCTTCAATCAAATCTAGAGCAAACTTGTGAAAAAACAATACAAATCAAAGCACAACACTGGACGGTGGAGTTGCAACAAATAAATATTTTCACATTTTAAGGGTAGGTCCTGCGTGTCCAAGTGAAATGTAGGTAGAGCAATCTTGCCCAAACAATAGGGATTCCGGAATTGGGTAGAAACGGCCAAAAATTGAGACGCACACAATAGAAAATGATAGTCCAGGAGGTGGCGCCAAAAACATGCAAGAGTTTTCGCAAGGCGGATATTTTCCAAATAGGTCGGACTTTAGTGCTAGAATGCTAGTGTACAGTCAGCACTCACAGTTCCGGGACAGCTGGCTCTGGGACGCGGGCAAAGTTGTAATTTTAAGAAGCATCTAAACTGTTTTCTCAAAGCTCAAAATTTATAGAAATTTTGCACATTATCTGTTTGAAGGTCACAGATAACTTATGTAAATCGTCAAACGTCTAGTTCGTTGCAAAAAGGGGGTCAGACGTCCTCAAAGTTTTTATTTTATGGCATTTTCTTCAAATATATTTGTCAAATACCTGCAAAAATATATTTTGACAGGACACCGAAGAAAATGCCATAAAATAAAAACTTTGAGGACGTCTGACCCCCTTTTTGCAACGAACTAGACGTCTGACGATTTACATACGTTATCTGTAACCTTCAAACAGATAATGTGCAAAATTTCTATAAATTTTGAGCTTTGAGAAAACAGTTTAGATGCTTTTTAAAATTACAACTTTGCCCGCGTCCCAGAGCCAGCTGTCCCGGAACTGTGAGTGCTGACTGTACACTAGCATTCTAACACTAAAGTACGACCTATTTTGAAAATATCCGCCTTGCGAAAACTCTTGCATGTTTTTGACGCCAGCTCCCCAACTATGAGTATTTGATTAGGATCATTAATGACATAACCTAATGACGTTATGGTTTGTGTTTGTGTCAAATGTTTGTGTGCCTCTTGTCGGCCATATTTGTGTCACGTGTTTTGGATAGTCTAATTCTATGATTTACATTTGTGTAGATTAGGCCGGTTATGTTTTTTGCGGTTTTCAACGCTTTTTTGCAAGTTTTTGTGGTATTTTGTTTTAAAAAAGTTAAAGTGAAGTGTTTATGTTCCAGTCTATGTGGTCTTCCATCCAGAAGTTTGCTAGGTTTTTCTATAATGGATTAAATTCAGGGTTTTTCCAACAAATATCAAAACCAGTGTCACAAGAACAAATATATAAGTATAGTTACTCTTTAATTCAATCTATTTTTCTATCAGATCTTCTCTTTTAACAACATTAATCAATTTTTCTCTTTTTTCTTGAGCTAACAAATCGAACCTCCCATTGGTATTTAAAATTGATGGAAACTTATGAAAGGATATTGTATCCCTTGCGCTATACTGCCAAAATTAACAGCTAAACAAACTCTAGGCATGTCCAAGAAACTTCTGGACCACACAAACGGTATTTAATTAAAAAAATCTAACTAAAAACCTAAAAAACCACTGTAAATATATCTTTGTTTTACCTCAAGGCGACTGTCAATAGTGTCAAACTGTCAGATCGTGTACTTGCCCTATTGCGCAATTCTCTGCGGTCGCAAGTTACAGAATAAGGCTGCGGCTATATGACTACGAAATTTTGAATTACACGCGTGTTTTAGACTATACTTTTTCTACGGCTATCAAATGAAACAACAGAAACAGAGATAAACAGAAACAAACTGACAACCTGATTATGGACCACATGTCATTTGACATTTTTGACAATTTGTCAAACGTCCATAATGTTAAATAGAGTCTACTTTTTCTGTCCTTTTTTCTTCAAAAAGGCTACATATTACATTTTTTTGCTCTAGAAATTGATACAAATAGTCGATATAAGTAACTTCCTTGCATTTTATAATATTTTTTGAGGTTTTTTAGTCAGGTCCCGTTCGACCCTAGGACTCTCAGAAAACAAATATTTGAGAGAGTGAGCTGATGCTCTTTCAACACCCAGAATAAAATAACTCAAATAATTATTATGTACGACCGGGACGTAATGCACCAGTTTGCGGCCTAATTTGTGGGCGCATTCTGATACTTTCCGGCCCACCGGGCCGCAAAGTGCCACATCATGATGTATGTGACGTAGGTATCAAAAATTGACCAAATGCTGGCACAAATTGGTTATTTTTACCCTTCAAAATGAATAAAAATGATCAAATTGAATCTTTGTTTGGTTGGTAACTGCAGTTTCTACTGGTACCTAATTCACAAATAAACACCAGTTATGTTTATTGCCATCTTTATTCATTAATAAATGGTTCTAAAATAATATTTGAATTGAAACATAATTACTCGCGGTCGTACATAAAATTTTGTATGTACCACAGAATGCTCAAACCTGCTTCAAATTATCAAATATTTGTCAAAGCCTCTGTGATATACTTTATACCTTGAAAAATCTTCCTGAAAAAAAACTATATCACCCGAGATAATAACTATACTTATGTTATCTTACCTTATAAGCAGACAAGTTATCAATACCGCATTCCAGAATAGCTTCTCTTCCAAGGGGTGCTGTTACATTTAAAACCGGGCCGAGGAAATTTGGTGCTTCTAAAACAAAATATTTAATTAAAATAATTCCAAAATATGAAAAAATTATTATTTACTGTCATTCAAGTCGTAACATTATTGTCTTCAATGATGTTTAATAATAGTAGGAGTAGGTATTATACATTATAATATAATTAATATATAAAACGTAATATAGACTGTTTTGGCCGAGACAAAATGCCGCTTTGATATTTAGGATATTTCAAATACTTTCGGAGATATCCAGAAAAATCCAAAATTTTGCAAAATTGTTTTTATTTTTTCCTGACTTTATTTGAAGTGATATTTCAAAAAAATATATTACTTCATCATAGCCACTTTTTCTCCCTCACAATATGCTACCATCAAATTTGAAATCTGATGTTATGTCTTTGGGCCACCATCATCAACTTCATTTTTTATTTTAGATTTTATAAGCTTCTGATATCCCAAAATCAGTGACGTATTGCACTCATTCGAGAAATTTATATTATAGGCACTTTCCATAAGAACTAAATGTATTAGAGAGAGACAGAGAAGAGAATTTTGGTGGGAAATTACTAAAAAGTAAAAAAATAAATATTTTTTCGAATAAATGCGATACGTCATAGGTTTTGGGACATCAGGAGCTCTTGAAATCTTAAATAAAAAATCCAGGTGCATATTTAAGAAAATAAAGTTGATGATAGCCGCCCAAAGACGAAACGTCAGATTTCAAATTTGATGGTAGCATCTTGTAGGGGAGAAAAAGCGGCTATGATTAAGGTTTTTTGTTTTTTTTTTTTGAAATATCACTTCAAATAAAGTCCAAGGAAAAAACGGAAACAATTTTGTCATTTTTTGTTTTTATCAAAGCGGCATTTTTGTTGAGAATCAAATTAGGCAACTTTGCCCTAATTTAACCAACCCTGTATCTCTCACTGTTTCCGAGATCCCAATGATGTGTCTCGAATGGGAAACACCCTGTACTGTTGTATTTCTTTTGAAATTCTCTCTCTTTATCTCCTCGCACCTTCAATCTCTCTCATTCGGTTTATAAGAAGTTTCACATTTGCCAGGTGCACGGCGCTACATATGTTTTTTTTATGTTGTTAGCCCCCTCACTTTGGCAATTGTTCTTTTTGGAGGCAATACATTTTTTTATTATATAATAACTCTTTTTAATAGTTTTTTTTTTAAGGTTATCAAGAGGACGGGTTAATTTGGGTTAGCTTTTTTCGTCTAAAATACCAACATACAAAAACTAGCACTTATCATGAGGAGGGGTAGCTCTTTTCGTCCGAAATACCAACAGACAAAGACTAGCACTTATTACGAGGACGGGTTAGTTTGGGCTAGTTTGGATTAGCTTTTTTCGTCTGAAAAACCAACATGCAAATATTAGCATTCATTACGAGGACGGGTAAGTTTGGATTAGCTCTTTTTGTCTAAAATACCAACATATAAATACTAGCACTTATTATGAGGACGGGTTAGTTGATTAGCTTTTTTCGTCTAATATACCGACATACAAAGACTAGCATTCATTACTAGGACGGGTTAGTTTGGATTAACCCTTTTCGTCCAAAATACCAACATACAAATACTAGAACTTATTTTATTAACGGGTTAGTTTGGATTAGCTCTTTCGTCTAAAATACCAACATACAAAGACTAGCACTCATCACGATCACGATACATTTTGCAACGGGCTCTCGAGGTCTCCCTATAATTAATTAAATGTAAAAAAAATAGAATCAATATAAATTACCTTAATATTAATAATGAATGATGAGTCAAGACCAACTATCAAACGTTGATATTGAACTAGCAAAACTCGCGTAGTCAGGGACGTAGCAACAGTCTTGCCGCTTTTTGGACGCAACATACATGAAAAAATATATAAATCATATTACGCCCGCCCAAGAAATCATTCTTCGCTTTGGCGATTTTTGACCGAAACAGAACACTGTAATATCGATCTCTACGGATTTATTTTCAGTCAGCCCTCCGAGTCCTAGTGTTCTTGCCAATACTTGTACTTGTCAATCTCAATGGTGAAAGTATGAGTCATGAGTGAATCCCCTGTGGGATTTTGTCCTGGCTTAGGCTGAAAAAGACATATGTACTTTCTTGAGGGATACGCGGCTGGAAATTATGTAGGTACTTCCAGAGCCGTTGCCGAAAAACCTCATTTTCGGTATTATCTGTTAACCCTCAAAAAATTACTCGCCTACGAATTTGTCATGCGTCATTTTGTCCATAACCCCCCCACTCAATATTGCTCCTATCCAGAAACTTATTGCACATAGCCAGCATGTGAGGAGATGGATTATCTTTATGCATATATAAAATAATCCATTATTAATAGGACGTAGTTTAATTTCAGGAACAAGTAATGGTATGATAATTTATCAAATAGCAATCACTATACGTTACGTTATTAACAATGTTCCCTCTCCTCTTCTCTAAGGTAATGAAACTAGAGCCTTTTAATATGGAATGGGGTAGTATACAAATATTGTTTTTCTCCAAACGTCAAAAAAACGTCACTTTGTTAGCACCTGTCAAGATTAATTAGGTAACGGCCCAATTAAGGACCGATTGAGATTGAGAAGTGTTTTATCTCTGCAAGACCATCCGTGGACGCGTTTCGCTGTATCACAGCTCATCAGCACGGTTTAGGTCCCGCAGAGAGAAAACACAACCCATTTTTGGTTCCATCCCGGAACTGGGTTTGATACAAGTAAAATGAAGACAGGGTCTCCATCTATTTTCTGATCGGCACACTAAAAATTGCTACTAACAACTGTATAAACCAGTATTAAATTAGAGCAAATCGAAATGGGTTGTGTTTTCTCTCTGCGGGACCTAAACCGTGCTGATGAGCTGTGATACAGCGAAACGCGTCCACGGATGGTCTTGCAGAGATGAAACACTTGTCAATCGGTCCTTAATTGGGCCGTTACCTAATTAATATCAATGTTTTTCGGTACCAACCGACTTTACTTCTGGTTGGCAACTAGAATAGCTATTCTCGCAATTGTGGCGAATGCCTTTGCGAGTCGATTTGCTCTAATTTAATACTGGTTTATACAGTTGTTAGTAGCAATTTTTAGTGTGCCGATCAGAAAATAGATGGAGACCCTGTCTTCATTTTACCTGTCAAGATGTTAGAAATTTAATTTCTATGCTGGTATGCAAATTCAGCGGGTTAACACCTGTCGAGGTGGTAGAAATTTAATTTCTATGCTGCTAGGCAACCGCAGCGGCAGTAGAAGTACTTTTAGTGCCGCTGAAGCGGCAGCAAAAGTACTTTTAGTGCCGCTCGTACTTTTACTGCCGCTTAACCATTCAGTTACCCCCGAGCTTACCCCATTCGTTTGGAGAAAAAATAGCGTGTTGCATACGGAGTAGAAGCACTTTTTTGTGCTTCAGCAGTATTGCAAGCCTCACTACGTTCGGCTCGCAAACCTACTGCTTCAGCACAAAAAAGTAAAGCTTCTACTCCTAATACAACAATATACTATTTTTAACTACTACGTAGTGATATACTCGACGTATCGTACTATTTAGTGTAATCAGTTGCTTTGTAAAAACCGCAATAGCCTGGAATTCTTTTTTTTGAATTTCCTCTTAGCCCCGTCCCTACGTGAAAATAAAAGTTCGTGACGTAGTTTTTCCAATCTGGCAACACATCACGGTTTTGAGAACGCGCAATTTGCACTGACATTAGAGAGTTATTGGAGATTTCAAAATAAAGCTAGCAGTAATAAGGCAACTACCTTATTTAAATAGCGCTTTACCTAAACGCGACTGGGAAAAAACAGTTATTGTTCACGATCACGAACACGTCAAGATACGGCTGTTCGTTAATTCTATTTCTAACCTTACTTTACTACCTGACAGCTTTGCTTTGCTGACAAATTTCAAAAATCCGTCAAATAAGGGCAAATTATATTATTAGCACGTAACTTTATTCGTGCAGTAATAAAGTCTAGCACAAACGTTAATAAAACTAGCCTTATTCAACGGAGCAACTGCGCAAGCGCAGATGTCAATATAGCGTTTGCATTATTACTGCTGGACCTTATTTCACTTCCAATAACTCTCTATTGACCGTCAAGAACGAAACGTCAAAGGACCCAATATTTAAATGGAAATTGGTTACCCGTGATATTTGGATGAAATTTAAATATGTTATTGGGGATGCCGTAAGTAATATTTTTTACCATGGGCACAACCGTGTATATATGACAGGTGAGGCGTGGTTAGCTGTCAAATATTGGAATCTTATATCCAAAAGCAGAGTAACTATGGCAGATTTTGATGAACAAAAAATCTATTTCTACTAAGTCGACCAAGTTAAGTCGAAAAATGTCAACCATTTTAACACCTGTCAAAACCCTGCCAAACGGCAGCACTCATCTTCTCCAGTTTTCAATATTTTATGTTGTCATTTGACATTTTTAACTTATATGTAAATTCTAAATTCAAAAATTGAAAAAAAAAAATGACAGAACTGTCAAAACCTGTCATTTGTTTTAGTAGAAAAAAATACTCTAATCTAGTCCTTTCTCGTTTTAAGGTAGTTTATTGGTGATAAAACATTGAACAAAGTTCATGCACGTCACATTTTGACAGCTGTCATTTTTTTTTCAATTTTTGAATTCAGAATTTACATATAAGTTAAAAATATCAAATGGTAACATAAAATATTGAAAACTGGAGAAGATGAGTGCTGCCGTTTGGCAGGGTTTTGACAGGTGTTAAAACGGTTGACATTTTTCGACTTAACTTGGTCGATTTAGTGGAAATAGATTTTTTGTTCATCAAAATCTGCCATAGTTACTCTGCTTTTGGATATCAGATTCCAATATTTGACAGCTAACCACGCCTCAAGTTTCCTCAGAGTTCGAGGAAGCCTTGAATGTTTAGAATTGACATGACTAATTTGTCAAAATAGGAGCAAGTGTTCGTTCTAAACTCACAACCTCCAAGGAAGACTCAAGGAACGACTATAAATTCGGCCCTATATGTAG